AGCTAGCTAGTTTTGGACAAGATATTGGGCTATAAAGGAAGCAACTATGTGGTGAAACAAAGTCTGGGAAACTTTAATTTTATGAAAATCGGTGAAATAATGGTATATATAGATGAGTACTCGTGGAGTTAATATAAAGGGTTATGGGAAAAGTGTGATCGAGAGAAAAGGCAAAAGGTAACATCTATCTGTCTTTTTACTCCGTATATTGTAAGCATATGATGCTACAATACATATCTGCTCTCAAAGTTTCTATCTCACATTCTCATCTCTCCGGAATGATAATAAAAGATGGATCTTTTCCTTCATGGCTGAAAGGCTATTAATAGATTTTAAGTTTCAATTCTGTATAAACTCACGTCAGATATTACTACGTACGTAGTAGGAAGTACTACGTATTAGATATTGGCGACATAAAGTACTCCTATATACTCCACGTATATCACGTAAAACTGCATGCAAACAAAATGGAGCCAAACATTGGTTGTTGTCTCCTTAAGAAATACGGAGTATTAGCCTATACATACAAAATTATATTGCCTCGCAAGATAAAAGGGTTCCTCCTAAAGTACTATGGCGAACCAAACAATACACAATGACGAACAAATGAAGTTGTAACTTGTAAGATGAGGAAGTGTTGTGAAGTCATGGTTTTTTCAGATGATAAAAATGGCAGGCGAAATTTGAATTCATAAAGCTCTGCCCAAGAAACATTAATCCACAAGGGCAACTGACAAGAAACACTAATCCAAAAACACTAATTAAACCCAAATTGAATTGTTTCTATCCCTAATTTTTGTATCAAAAATTTTACGAGTACTTTTATCTTCTATTTGATTTTCTGTCATCAATATATTAAAAACAAATAATTTTAGTTACTAATACTGACTTAAAAAATTTTACATGAGCAAAATTGATAGTCGTTGATCAAACGTTGAGTAAGCTTTGAACAGACATTGAGAGCACTAGCTACTCATTCCTAAAATTTATATTGGTCTGTTAGGATAAAGTAATAAAGATATACTACTTGCATGAATGGTGATGAGCCCATTTGGTAAATACCCAAATTGGTTGCATTGCATTGGCTGCATGATTCTCCTGAAATTTATGAAGTTCTAGGTAGATTGACTGGTTCTATTGATTTGCGAAATTAAAAGTTACGTGTTTGGTGAAAACGTTACGTTGACCGATAAACCTGATAAGTCAAAAAACAGTGTCACCAAAAGGGCTTGGTATGCTACTCCTTTTATCAATTCTCAAGTACAAAACATGGCATGACAGGTGAATTTGACATAGGGGAGTTCATGAGTGTGGATGACAATTACAACCGATTTGATGGATTCATGTATCAAACTGCTATAAACTTGGATTTGAAGGTAAAGTTGCATTCATCGAGCGAGTAATAGGTACAGGGTGAGGAACAATCGCTATCTTCCAACGGCTAAATGGGAGGTAAGGAGGTTACGTTTTTACACATATACCTACACTGCCACTACCCGCCCTATATATTTTTAATTATATTTTAAAATTCTGTCACACGCCGGAAAAATGAAGGTTTCCTCATTTCCATTAGTGTATAACCTTAATTGAGAGTCTAACTCTTGGAGTCCAATAATAGAACTTTAAACTTTGGTATGATATTATCGAATTTCTTCTTAATTCTTTTTTTACCATTTTTGTGTAATTTAAGTTTTATATTAATTCAGACGCCTGCTTCCTCGCCTAGTGGGTGTAAGAGCAACTATATTAAAATATTGATGACCCATTTGAGTAAATGGTTACCCGCGGTTATACATGTTTTTCATTGGAGAAATTGCGTGGTGGATAATGGGTGATTACGTGGTGGCCATGTGATCATATGCATAATCGTCTCCCATCTGATGCCATCCCAACTCATGAACCTTTGAGATTGAAATTGCCCTTCAAATTTGTCATTTAGTCCCATTTATTGTACACTTTTATGCTATAGACAAAAAACATTGTATAGCTTATTTATATCTGGCCTGGTTCGATAGATGCATATTTTATGTGTATTTTAAAAGTTTAGTCCGACATGATCCTGTCTAGTATATGGCTGTTTAAATCTGGGCCGATCATGTCTAGTATGGTTTGGGGATGAAACCAATCTAACTAGAAACATCATATCGTAAGAGCCTTGTTGTGCCTCGTTTGACAATTCCTTAAACCATAAATTTGGTAATTTTGTTTAAACCCAAAATTTTATGACATATCTAAAATATAAGACCCTTTTAGTCATGCTTAGACTATCTGAATCTTTCTTAATCGACCGAGTCTACTACAATTATATCTGAAATGGATGAATTAACTAAATTCTGAAATTTCAAATATATATATATATATATATTATAATATTTTGTTATTGAAATAAAAGAAAAATTACACACAGTATGTAATAAGCTAAAATGATCCTATTGTGTTTAAAATAATCAATTGAGAAATTCTTGATGTACATGTCGTGGCCGTTTGGAGCCATAAAATTGGGTTGATAAGCCTTGAAATCTAAAAATAGAGCCAAACACATGTGTATTTGGCTGTTTGGGCTGATTTTCCTTATCAGCCAAAAAAGCAACCTTATTGCTACTTTTTGGGTTGAAAGGTATATATTTACGGTTGAAACCTGAATATACTCCTTTACCCTTCTACTATAATTGTTAACGCATCGCCTCAGAATAGTCGAAGACAATTTCCAAATCTGTTGCGTCGAGTTTCATCTGCTAGCCCGACTCCTCCATATTCGTCAAATAAGCTGCCCTGCTCTTCTTCTAGCCTCTTTCTTATTTTTCTTCGATTGTTAGAAGACCCATCCACGTTATGTGCGATCTTCTTCGATTGCAAGATGGACTCTTCTTCTTCAATTCGTTTTCAATTTTTTGATTTGTTTCTAACCTTTGCTACATACATCTTATCTATTTTCATAAAACGTAAAATGAAGAAAAGTAGAGGCATGAGACCCATCCACGATATATGCGCTCTTCTTCAATCATAAAATTCACACCATATATTTAATACTCCCTCCGTCCCTAATAACTTTGCCAAGTTTGACCGGCACGGAGATTAATAAAGTAAAAACTGTGTGGTTGAGGTTTGTGCAGAGGAGAGAGAATTAACTGGAACCACAAATTCTTTACTTAAATGGGAAAATGGCAAAGTTAATGGGACATCCAAAAAAGGAAAGTTGGCAAAGTTATAAGGGACGGAGGGAGTACAACTAAGCAAATACCGGTAATTTCACATTCAATCAGTCATTCCAGCCAAAATATTATCAAACACTTTTACTTCAGCAAGTTAAGTCTTTTCAGGCTTTTCAGCCTTTCCAGCCATTGCAGCTGCTTCCAAACAGGCCCGTCATTTCTACATATTTTGCACACGCCTCATATTTCGTTTGTGTCGATCACATACAACTTTTTGCATATCTTTAGGCTAAATTACGTGTGACAAAATATAGGGGTGTGTACAAAATGCACAGAAAAATTGTCTATTAATGAATAAGCTCAATCTTTTAATGTAATTTGATTAAAACATCTTATGATATAATAAATTGGCCTTAATCCATGATTCTATTACAATCAACTATACTGCCTTCACCAGACTCAGCTCGATCTTATTCTAAATAAAACATAACAGTCTTATTTTTACAATTCTACCTTGTTTTAGTTCTATTTAGACAAATCTCTCAATAAAAATTAATTCTTTCTTCATATGTTCTTTGACTCTTTCTATTCTATTTTATACTTCGTATTATCTCCTTCTAAAATTAATGATGTTTTCTTTTGGACTGTTTTCAGTCCCAGACCAGACCAGACCAGATCAGACCAGACCAGACCAGACCAGACCAGGCCAGACTTAAACAGACCAGACCAGACCAAACTTGGATAGTTATAAAATACACAAAGACCAGAAGTTTACCAGACCAGACCAGACCAGTTCAGACCAGACTAGACCAGACTAGACCAGACTTAAACAGACCAGACCAGACCAGCAAATTTCAGTCCAAAAGAAAACATCCTAATTAAGAAAATGGGATTAAATACTCAAACTACCTTCTCACTTTACCCGAGCATTGGAAATGTAAGTAATCTTAGCATGACAGAGTTATAGATTTTAAAATTGGTTTCGAGTAATGAGTATTCTTATTTCAATGAACCACTACTTGATTTTTTTTTTTGTAAATTAATTTGAAAAGAGGGAACACAGTCAACACACTGTGATGAATAATTAAGTAATTAATTAATTAACTAATTAATTGATTAATTAATTAATAATACAACTTCCACCGGACTTTTTTTGTCACATTTGTGTTTGGTGCCCGATTTGTCAATTAGTACTCTTTTGTCCTTCTAAAATTGTTTCATCTTTCTTTTTTAATCCAGATCACTAACATTGTCTCATACTAAAATTGACGAAATTTTGTATTTTCTAATTATTCTTAATTTTTCAATTCAATATGAATGTCACCCGAATGAAAATAGTACTCCCTAGTATTTTTAAATATAATACTCCGTAAGGCGTTTCTCTTGGAAGTGAACTTCGGACCAACATAAGCACATATCTCAATTAAGTTTAAATTAACAAAAATTCTAGAGGTACCCCAAAAATCCAAAATGTACCCCATTTTGTACCCACCCTCCTGAATTGCCTGTGTACACAGACGGTGTACAGATTGTGGTACAAATTGGAGTATCCCAATCAGGGACTCTTAAATTAAAGGCAGGGTGAGAACTGTAAAACAATTATTATAAAAATAAAAGTCAAAAGATGTGAAAGGAAAAAAGGGCGCTGGGGCAAGGGACCAATGCCATTGCATGCATTTTGTTGCAGTTGGTTTGTGCAACGTGGCAACACTTCTCTAGGATGAAGACAACAGGCCTCGGGGGTGGGGGTGGGGTCTGGGGTGGCAGTTCAAAAGTGTATTTCTGATGACACCCAACACGCTTCCTGCGCTGTGCTCTGTTTCTGTGCGTATATAAACTCACACATCGAAACAGAGGGCCAGCCAGGGCTGAGATTTGAGAGGCAGAGATGGCGGCGAAGGGTGGCGGACACGGCGGCGGCGGAAACGGAGGGAGGGGGAGATCGTACGCGCTGCTGCTGATGCTGGCGTTTGGAGCTGCCATTCTCGGGGTTATGATCCTTCACAAGTTCAGAGAGAGGCGCATCTTCAACCTTCTGGTTCAGGAGAAAGACCGCCAGCTCCTCTCCCTTCACCTCCTTTTGCAGGTCCTCCCCTCCTCATGTCTCTATTTTAAATTCCCAATTTCAACTTCTTTTGATTTCCTTAAACGTTCTTTACATTGAGGACGGAAGGAAGGAATATTATTTTTTGTTCAAGTTCATTTTGTATAGGAGAATTAAAGTTTAATTTGCAAATCATTTGAATTCAAAATTTGAGTTTAGTCTTCAAAATAATTTGAGTTTGAACTTCAGGTGCAGAGATTTATAATTTCGAAAATGTTAGACAAGCTCAAATTTTGTTGGGTAAAGTCTCATTTAACTTTTTGATTATTCTTTTTTAATTTTATAATGTAATAAAGGACCGAATTTAATTTCATGTTCTCAAAAAATAGGCTTTAATCTTGTTCCAATTTTATTTTTCCATAATATATCTTTTTTGAACAAAACCGGCTTAAATTATCATATTTTTCCATATATCTTCAAATACCGAAGTATTTGTTTCCAAGAAGAAAGAAGTGTCTTATTCCAAATTTCCAATTATGTCATCCTCATGAATGTCGTGCATCGGTAAAATCCGCATTGATGTTTTAAATTGGATTTAAATTTACTGGTCTCTTCCATTTAAGTTTGATCTGATATCGGCTGAATTAGCCTGATATGGTAAATGTATAGTCTATGTGTATTTTATAATTATGAAAGTTTATCTAGTTTATTTATGTTCGGTCTGGTTTGGGACTGAAAATAGACAACTAAAAACATCTTTACGCAGTCTATGACAGATTTAAAGGGTGACAGGGTCATTATGTAAATGCATCACTGTTCTAAAAATCACTCTAGGCGCCTGATGAGTCCCCAATTAATTGGTTTGACACCTAGATGAATTAGTCGGCCGTCTAGGCTACCTAGTTGTCTTCCTAGAGCACTTAATCGACGCTCTAGTACGACTAGATTCGTCAATCATTTTATTTTGCTTTTTTATTTTAGTTTACTAAGAGATATATGCACATTTAATGTACTTTAATAATGCATATGAAGAGAGCTACTACTTGTAGATTAAAATAAAACCATACATATTTGTATATAATCTTAAATGTTATTACATATTACTACATATTATTTAATAATATTTATTACATAATGAAGTTAAGCGGGTAGATATAATATATTATTAAATGTGGCAACTTTATCATCCATGCATGGTAGTGTGTGTGTGTGTTTTATAGATACACAAACACAACACATATTATTAATCATATTCATGTAAAAAATACTGATAAAACTATAGTTTATATGATTAATCCAACCTTCTAGTGGTCTTCAAGGGCGCCCAGCGTATGACTAGCGTCTAGCATCTTTTAGAACATTGGTAGGTACTCGTCTTTATATGGGAATATTCAAGGGCGAAGACAGAGCACTAAACCGGACTGAGCCGGTACACAGAAATTTTTTTACAAAAAATTACACTTGTTTTTTACACTAAAAATATAGACATTTTAAAATTTTGGGTTGGACCAAGGTCTCCCCTTCTCATATTGTTGAAGCTTTGTCCTTTGATCTGATTAATGCAAGTTGAGTTGAATTCCCTCAAAACAAAAATAGACATTTTTAAAATTTGGGCTAGACCAGGGCCTCCCTTAGCTCCTCCCCTAGCTACACCCCTGGGAATATTGAAGTTTCAACCCTACTTTTCACGTAATTTTGGGTTTTCGTCCTTTTTTAGATAATGAACATTTACTCTAGAAGTTCACAAACATGATAAAAATGATGTAAACTACACTCCTATCTTCAAAGAAAAATGGGGTGACTTCAAGGTTCAGATTGTAAAATTAATAACAAAATTGGGATGTAAACTTAAATTTGAATGAAAACAAATAGTGTGAGCATCACCCCATCTGAATCCACTAAATGAGTTTCTTAACAGTTAGGATGTTTTTACTTGGACTGTAATTTGCTGCTCTGGTCTGGTCTGGTCTGAACTGGTCTGGTCTGGACTGGTCAGGTCTGGTCTGGGACAAATTACAGTCCAAGTAAAAACATCCTTAATCGAAGTCTGCGCCTCATTCAAAATTTGAGCTTACTATTTGCGCCTCAAGTATTTAGAAAAATTAATCTGCGCCACAATCCAAACCCAATAAAAATCAAGTGCAAGTTCTTAAGTTTAGAGCAGAAATGTTAATTAATTGTTTAAAGTAATGAGTAGGGTAGAGCCGGGAAGCTCCCGGTAGGTGTAGTGGCCTGAACCTTTTAACGAGAATAACCAGTTTGAGTTCCAGACCTGCTCTGTTCCGATTCTGATTTTATAAAACCTGGAATAAGTTTGGATAGTTCCACACTTCCACTACAGAACCAGAAATCCCGGCAACCAGTCCATGGCAACTCACATCTTAATCAAAATGACAAGGTGGAGTGTGAACTAGGGGTCGACTCAGGATGGGCCAGGCCCGGTCTGGTCCCGGCTGGCTGTTTTTCTGCAACACTTTGGCCTGGTACCGGCCCGGGTATGCTCCGGGGCCGGGCTGAGCCCAAATAATACCGGTCGGGCCGGTCACAGGTCGCTACCACCTTTTTTACTAAAAAAAATAAAAAATAGTGTTGTTGGGCCCATCCGGGCCAATAAATTGAGCCCTAAGCCCGCACCTTATAACCGCCGATCCGGGGCCCGGGCTGGGCCGGCCCGGTCCAGTCCATCCCTTAGTGCGAACATTAGTTTTCCCTTTCTTAATCCGTGTGAAACAAACTTAAACAATGAAGTAGTTTTAGTGCCCGTCTGGTAGCCTCAATTTTGGCTATTCAGGCTTATAAGCCAACTTTTTCACCAAACACGTAACTTTTGGTTTTAGACTTTTAGGGGCTGAATTGTGTAATAATGAGAAAAAGTAAGGTTGGAGTTACTTTTCTGGCTGTATTGGTTGAAGTTACTGTAGAGAGTCATTTAAGCTATTTTCATATAATTTTTTCTTTGTTTTATTAATAAAATGTATTTTAAATTATTATTTTTAACAAACCAGCAGAATCAGCAAATACAGCCACATCAGCCAGGACTTGATAAATTTCAGCAGAATCAGCCAATACAGCCGATTTGGCTAGCAAACGGGCTCTTACATTTCTGTGTATTTATGAAAAACTGAAGTACATCAAATTTTTGTTTCTGTGTTGCAGAAAGAAAAAGACAGTTCGAAAGATGCCAAAAAGCAAATTGATGACATGAGAGGAAAAATTCATAAGCTACGGACTAAGAAGGCGGATCTTGAAGCAAGAATCCAAGAGATGGATTCCACCATCTCTTCCCTCAAAGAAGAACAGAGAACCATATCATCCTCCCTGGAGGAGAAACAGAAGCAGATCAATGCACTTATGGATTACAAGCGAGGGGAGAGTCGAGAATCTGCCAGGTTAACAGCTTTGTCCGAAGCCCTCCAAAAGAAAGCAGCCGAAATCGACGAACTGAAGCGGCGGGTCAACTTCCCAGTCAAGGTCTGGTCAGTCAGATCCGATGATCGGTCAAACCTGCCAGTTAATTTCACATCCAAAGCGTCTGGAGTAGAAATTGGAAATGATAACAGAAACAGAAAAGATGCAGAAACCTCAGTGCAGACACAGGATAGGGTGCAAGAGGGAAAGAATGAAACTAGTGATTCGCAACAGGTTTCCGGCAGCAGGACCACCTCCACCGTTGTAGAAAGCTATCAGTCAAGAGAAGACGGGGTTAACTCCGATACCATAGGAAGAAAACTACGGGGGAAGAGGAGGAGGATAATAAGTTATAAGAACCTAAAATCTGAAAATGGGGTTAAGAGTATGAGGAGTCGGAAATCATTTACAGATAGTGAATCAGCAGACGTAAGAAAGAAAAGTAATCTGCAGACGTTACCTGATAATTCAACACTTGAGGGAGATGACAAATTACTTAACAAACTTGGAGACCAGAAACCAGAAGAGATAGCTAACACCACAAGGAGAAACAAGGACCGAAGGAACAAAACTTACACAAGCATGACAGAAAAGAGGGCAAAAGAAGATGTTCAAGAAACAGCAATGGAAGAAGACACTTATAGAAAGTCAAACTCCGGCACAGATGACATTGGATTTTAGACTGCTTTATGTCATTACCCATTGTTAAACAATTTCATGTTTTTTTGCTATCACAGCTTCTCTAAAGATCAGTTTAATTGCTTCGACATCTAAGTTCTTAACTCTTAAGTAATTTCTAGCAGATAGACTTTCTTAGAAGTTCATTTGGACTTTTGGAGTATGTTTGAATATCAGAAAGCAGTTTTCTTAAATATATTTTTTGTTTGGTCACTAATTTTTAATAGTGGTGGACTGAACCGGGCTGGTTCGGGCCTCGGGCCTAGGCCCGGCCGGGCCTCGGTTCAGTAATAGAAGGCCCGAGCCCGAACCGGGGTAGGGCGGTCCCGGGTCCGGTTCCGGGCCAGACCGGGCCGGGCGGGCCACCCGGTTTTTTTTCCTTTCTCCCCCCCCCACCCCCCCAAACCGGCCTAAACAGATAGCCCAAGCCCAACAGCCCAAAAAAAATGAAAAAAAATAGATTTGGCCCGGACCCGGGCCCGAACCGGCCGGGCCGTCAAAACCATGAACCGAGCCCGGAACCGCCCCACCCCCGGGCCTCCGGCCCGAAACGGACCCGGACCCGGAAAACCGGGCCGGGCCGGGCCCGCACAGTAGCGGGTCGGGCCGGTCCCGGGCCGGTCCCGGGCCGGGCGGCCCGAACCGAGGCCATGCCTAATTTTTAAGAAGTTATGTTCATGTGTCAATCAACCGATATGCAAAAATAAAGATCAAGAGTTTTAATGTAACTTTATCTTTCCGGAAAATTAATACTACTCTCTTCTAGGGATGGACTCAACCGGGCCGGCCCGGCCCGGAACCGGCCCGGCCCGCCACTGTGCAGGCCCGGCCCGGAACCGGGACTGGTGAACCGGTTCGGGCTTTGACCCGGCCCGGGGGGGTTTGGCGGTTCGGGTCCGGTTCATTTGTTTGGTGGCCCGGCCCGGCCGGTTCGGTCCCGGGTCGGGCCTAACGGTTACATTTTTAAAAAAAAAAAAAAATTTTGTTTTTCAGCCAAACAGGCCTTATGGCCGTTGGCTTTCAACCCAAACGGCTCTATAGCCGTTGGGAGCCTTCCAGGGGGTCCCGGGTTGGGGGGTGGGGGGTGGGGGGGGTGGGGGGGTGGGGGTGGGGTACTAAATATCTATAAATACTCCATTTTTTCTATACACTTTACTACACATCTTCTCCAAATATCTCTACTCTCTAAATCTCTAATCTCTATTCTCTATTAATCTTTCCCATCTTCATCTTCTCAATTTCTCAAATTTATTACTACATATATTATATTTATATAATTTATTATCTACTTATATTAATATCTAATTATTATATTATTGTTACTTATATAAGTATATTTATTTACTTATATTCACATATTACATATACTTAATATATACTTATATTAGTTATACATATATTAAAGTATAATATATAAGTGTATTACTCAACTTATAGTAATATACTTATATATTAAAGTATAATATATAAGTGTGTTAGTCATCTTGTAGTAATATTAACATAATATTATCTACTTATTATCTACTTATAAATATATATTTACTACATATATAAGTGTGTTAGTCATCTTGTTAGTCATCTTATATTATATATACTATCAACATAATATTATCTACTTATTAATTTTGTTTACACACTAATACATTCTTCATTAATATAAAAGTTGTTAATTGTTTCACTTATCATTTTAGACTTTTAGTATTAGTTCATTGCTATAAAAGTGGTTAATTGGTAGTTGTTAGTTTATTGGAAATAGTTACATTAAAAATTGTTAGACAAGAATTCGAAATTAATTGTTTACTTGTTAAACTAGTTAATTGTTACATTTCTTAATCTCCTCTTATAATTTAATTAAAGTGCTTATTAGATATAAAAACCATTTTCCCGCTTTTTTAAGAGAATATGCTAACTATATTATAAACCCGGCCGATATCGACACTTGTGAAAAAATTGTGAATGTTTTGGTGTTTTTTAATAATGCCACTGAAACTTTTAGTCATGTTTATAAACCTACCGCAAACCAATTTTTTGTTGAAGCTGTTAATCTCGCCGGCGCTTTTTCTGAATTCTCTGACGCCGCTTACGTTAGTTATTTTTGTGACTTCATGAAACAAAAGTTTTTAAAATATTATTCCTATATTCCGCATATATATGGTATTGCATTTGTTCTTGATCCTCGTTTTAGACTTTATTCTTTGGAGAAATGTTTAGATTACTATTATGCTTCTTTTTTTGGTCCATTGCCTATGTACGACGACAAGGCCATAGACCCTAAACAACAATTCCAAGAGGTTAGTAATTTATTATATCAATTATTTAATGAGTTTCATGCACAATATGGTAACGCACCCCCTCCCCCGCCACGAACATCTTCTTCATCTAAAGGAAAATCAATTTTCAAATCTGCATTTGGCAATCTTATGAAAAAAAGTAAATCAACTCCGGTTAATGAACAAAGCTCGATCAACGAGCTTTCTTTGTATCTAACATTTCCTGTTGATTATGAAGAAGGGGATGACTTTGACGTTCTTCAGTGGTGGAAGGAAAAAGAGAGAACGTTCCCGATCTTATCAAAGATGGCTAAGCAAGTGCTAGCAATGCCGGTATCAACAGTTGCTGTGGAACAAGAGTTTAGTGCGGCCGGCAACGTCCTAACGGATTATAGAACGAGATTAAGCGCAAACTCTCTTGAGACGCTTGTTTGCTTCCACGATTGGTTGAAGGCCAAACGTAGAACTCAAGAAATAAGCATTGAACCCACTCGCCACTTTATGGAAGAAACAACTGAAGATGGAGGAAATTCTAATTGATTCATACTTCATTACTTATTATAAAGTGTATTTCATGTTTTTATTTTTACTCAATTTTCAATTGTACTACAAATATCAAATAAATATGTTTTACCCTTTTTTATGTCCAAGTAATATTAATTTAATTTTGGTATCAAAAAAAAAAAAAAAAAAAAATTAAAGCCCGGGCCCGGCCCGGCCCGGCCCGGACCCGACCGGGTCGACCCGGCACGAACCGGACCCGGTATCACCCCGGGCCGGTTCCGGGCCCAACAATCCCCAAAAAAAGCCCGCCCGGGCCCGGCCCGGAACCGGAACCGGCCCGGCCCGGGTCCATCCCTACTCTCTTCCCACAAACATTGAGACATAAAGAGGTGGTGTGATTATTAAAAAAAAGTTTATGTGATTGTTATTGAATTGATGAAGAATAAAATAATAATGAATTAGAACTGTACAAACTTTACGAATTTTGGTATGAAACAATCTTATTGGACGGATCAAAAATGAAAGATGGAAGAATCTTAGCAAGACAAATGGAATACTACGTATGATAGAGATTGAAATATTGAATCTATCTTTAACTTTCCCTGAAAGATTATTCCCTTTTACTTTTCATCTATATTTTCATCCCTATGCAAAATAGACCCTTAAAAGAAACTCACATAAATGCCGGTGGGAAGTTATCATCTTTCAGTCTTTTATTTGCAAAATTGCAAGTGATAGCAAATTAAACTCACATACTGCCAACTAAACACACATCAATGCGGTCCATAAAAGAAACTTGTGCAGTAGTTGAGGAGAGATTTAGGGTACATTAAACGTGAAGTAGGCATTGGACATCCAAATAGATAAAGATGAATCCCAGAAATGGCATCAAAAAGAACAACTGCATTATTGCTAGCAAAATCCCATCATCACTAATGCATCCCAAAAGTTCCAGCTTTACTAAGACGCTTGAACCACATTCTGTCAAATGAAAAAGATAATTAAAAACAAAATAATAAAAACCATGAAAAGAAAATTCAGTCTAACATAGTGAGAGACAACCGTCTGGTAAAATTAGATCAACTTTTTTATTCTTTCAGACCATCTTCCAAAATGGCACTTATTCACTGAAATCCCTTCCTCACACTAAGGGCATGTTTGTGAGTTTGGAGGGAAGGGGAGGGGAAGGCTTTGAAAGTATGGTGTTGGAGGGAAAATGGAGGGGAAATTGAGGGGAAGGTGAGGAAACCCTTCTTCCTATTTGGGAGTAATAAATTTGGGTTTGGGAGTAATATATTTGGAAGTAGAGAGTCTTTGAAGGAATTATAACTAAAATCATATTGAGATATGACAAATTCAAATAATTTAATTCATTTTCATTTTAAATTAAGCTTAAATTATCATTTCATTAATTACCCTTCAAAACACTCCAACTTGGGGGAACTTAAAAATTGAGCATTTAGAGGGTTTCGGAGGGTTACAAAAGCCCTCCAAAACCATCCCCTTAAATTTCTTAAACTCCCAAACATGAAAAGGAGGATCATAAACCCCCATAAACCTTCCCCTCCCCTCCAAAACACAACTCCCAAACGCACCCTAAGGGTCTATTGGATGGAGGGATGTGGAGAGAGGAAGGCTTTATAGGGATGACTCTTTATATTGATAAATAAAATGCTTTTAAAAAGATATAAAGGTGATTCATATAATCATATGTTATACAACCAATCTTATGTTAACCATTCCATTTATATAGAATCTCGATAAAAATCAAGATGTAGAATCTCCAACACCAACTGTCCAAACAGACCATTAGAGAAGAGACTAGAGTTCTAGAATAATAGTAGGGAAACAAAGAAGGCCTACAGCCTACCAAGTACCAAGCCAATTACACAGTCTGGATAACCTCCTAGTATAGTTGTGGGCTGAGCTCAATATTATCTATTGTTTGAGTAGCAGGTCTGTGAGTGTGCTCAAGATTGGTCATTACAATATTATTACTAATATGAAACTTCAAACTTCCCCAAATTGTAGAGTTTTAAAGCTTAGTATACAGCACAACGGCTAAGATGGTCAGGTGGCTTACTAGCTAAGATGCTAAGTCTAGCTAAACCAAGATATACCAGATGCTCAATTCTTCATGAAATGTGCATCAAATATATGTTAAAACTCATTTTCTTTGAAAACTACTTTCAAACTATTTGGTTTCACACTTTAATATTTTAAAAATTAAAATTAAAACAGACCAGTAAAAGCAAATCATTTAAAGTGAAATCACTTAAAGCAGTACAGTTTATGAGTTTAAGCTGAATGGTGAGGTACTAAAGCCATAGTTTCTAAAATCTATCTGAAGGAAGAAATATACCTCTTCCTTATTCTTCTTTCCTCCGGTAAAGAATTTATATCCACCATAGATTGCTGTA